CACCCTGGAGAAGGTGACCACGGCGTCCCCGCCGCGCGAGAGCGGCCCCAAACCGCCCAGAAATGCGGGAAGGCAGCAACCGAATGTCCCCGCGACGCCCCACGGCGCGGGGAGCCGAACCCCGCGGGGCGTCCTCAGCGGGAGGCCGGTGACGCCGGCGTCCCCAGCAGCGCTGGCGTCACCAGCAGAAAGGTCACGGCCGTGTCCTCTAGCAACAGGAACTGGCCCGTGAAGGGAGCGGGAGCCGAGCGGAGACAACGCGAAAGACCCGCGTGTCCCCAAGGGGAATGCCCAGGGTGGCTCTTCCACAAGGGGCACCTACTGCCATCCGTCACACCCCAAAGCACCGGGTTGTGTCCCTGCACTGCCCACCCCCAGGGACAGAGAGCGGCACAACAAGGGATCGATCCGGCACACGGCGGCATCCGGCACCCGCTCCCACATCAGCGGCGCCCTCGGGGCGATGCAGCAGCGTGCGGCATCCGCCACGTCCCGGCATCCCGCGCAGCGCCGGCACCCGGACACGCCGCCGCGGGGCCGGGCACGGCCAGGCCAGGGGCGCCCAATGCCTGCGGTTTGCCAGAGCGCTTGGGTGCGTTTCTGGAATATTTGTGCGCTGCCGGCGCCGCACGGCGCGCGCCCGGGCTGCACCAGAGGAATGTCAACGGCAAATAAATAAATAGGAGCGTGGAGCGCGGCCAGCCCCGCGGCCCCGGCGCCCTCCGCAGCCCCGGCCGGGGAGGCGCTCCCAGAGCTGCAGCCCAAACTATGCCTATAATTTCCTGTTCCAGAAGGGATCATTTTTATGTAAATGAGGAGCAGAAGCATTCCAGGAGTGCGGCCGGGAATGCCGCCTCCCCGGCCGGCCCCCCAGCGTGGCCGGAGGCGCCTACTCCGGGCAGCGCCCCCGCGCTCAAGGCCTGGGAACGCGGCCCGTGCCCAGAGGAGGAGGCCGGAGACGATGGGAACGGACACACGTGTCCCGGCGCTCCCCCGGGCCGCAGATAAACCGGCGCGTCCCCTCCGGACTCGCGCCC